ATTTTCTCAATGCTTTACGGGTAGCCATCTTCGACTCTGGGGTACTCTCAAGTTTGCCCAGCGACATGTGAATTTCTTTACACCGTTGGAACATGTGGAATCTCCAGATTCAGGATATCATATATTTTATTGAGCAATTTTTTTTTCTTGAGGAGATTTAGCTATTTTCTCAAAGGTATCTCAAGTAGAGCATTCGTGTTTATTCATATACATTCTACCACTATTGATCAATATTAATACCTTACTATAGCTCTATAGGAGTCATCTTCTTTAACGTAACCGTATTCCCAAGCTTGCCTGATAACATACCAATTTCTTTGGACCATTCGATTGCTCAGAATCTCTAAATTCAGAATATTATATATTTTGCCGAGCATTAATGAGAGGACATATCAATTTTCTCAATGATATACGGGTAGCCACCTTCGACCCTACGGTTCTCTCAGCTTTGCCGGGTAACATATGACTTCGTGCACACCATTTGATGCATCGGAGTGTCTAGTTTCCTTAAAATATATGTATTGCTGAAAATATTATCATTCTTTTTGTCAAATGAATATTATGTCACTGTTATTACTGTTAATGATATGATTCTTGTCAAAATAAATCTTCAGTAATCTGAGGCGCTGTTTGTATTCCTTGTTCAGGAGAATATCGGTCGGTGTATGATCAGTGTTAGTGAACTGAAGTTATGTTATGCAAATGGCATTAATTTTACCGTGCTCTTCCGTTAATTTTTAGTAACGATAGGTTGTAGAATGGTTGGTTGAAGCATTAATGTCAAGAAGCAAAATGGGCCAAGGTGCACAATTTATTGTTGAATGGAAAAGATTGTGAAAGGCGATTTCGATCCTTACGATTTCATGGCAGTTTGATTAAAAGGATAAATCTTGCTGGTAATTGGAAGGCCGAATTTTAGAACTTCCTCTTGTTCTTCTAATGATTCACATTAAACATTATGAAAATTTCAAATTTTTTCGCCATTTTTCCTTGTTTGAAATACATCGTAGGAAAATGATGAAAAGCTGGTACTTTCTAATGCTTTCCCCTAAACTTTAACCATGAAACAATTTGTTTCTTGACATCATCGGTCTTGATATTCTTTCTTTCTTGCTAGGTTTTTCTTTTGAGGTAGAGAAAGTTTCAATTAATTCAGTATATATGCCAATTATTGTGCACTACGATTGGTCACGCCAAGCGGCGTAACTCTCATAACATATCGATTGATCTCAACACTTAAAGCAACCTTCAACCTCGGCTACAACATAGCTTGGATATAAATTTTCCTGACAGTTGGGTAACAATTCAAATTATTCGCCATCAGATCAAGATACGTTATTTGTGAGCATTGATGAAACTGACCAAGTGAGCGCAACCGTTATTCATAACGACGCACTGTTGATTGTGCATGATTTTGATCAACATCGATTGCACACATTGTTCTATGCTTCAGTTTTTTGTTCGACAAATTCTCGATAGATTCATCCATACCATTTTCAATGTCTCTGTATGCGTGGTGCTGAGCTGGATTGTTTCTGTGATGCGTGTGCGAAGTTTTTCGTAATTCGACTACATTCATTCCAGGGCTTCTATGAACAATTTGTGGTTGAATGACAGCACTTCTGATTTCTTGTTTCTGTTTATTCTAATCTACGGAATATGAATGAAAATTGAGGCGTTGTTAGTAACCACTTCTTTTACATCTTTTTCGATTAATTAGTTTATTTGTGAATTCAGCAGAATTTGTTAATGTATATTAATGTGGATGCGTTCGATTTATGAATATTCTGTCACTGTGCTTAATTTATATACCTATAAGATGAATACGTGCCAAGTTCTAATGTATCATGTCGGTTTGCTGCATCTTTTGATTCATAATTTTTGGTGAACTGTCACAATCTACATGCTTGCCTTATGAGGACTGACGTAAGGAACATAACTCGAAGGATCTTTACTATTGTTATTGTAATGTTTCGTTATTGTGTTATAGTAATGACATTTATCATTCACGGTATTACGTCGTTGTTTTATGCCATATTGTCATATACTCATGTGCGTTGAGGGAAACTCAGTAAGATTATGTTATATTTCAGAATTTAAGAGTTCTTTCGGGTATTCTAAACTTCGCAGACACCCTTGCCTCTTATATAGTCATCTATCACCTTTGATTGTTCTTATGATTGTACTTGGAATGCTTTCTGCTTTCGGATTTTGAGAAGTGTTTTGAGTTTGGTAATACCACATTATCAAATAGATTTGATGGTACTCAGTGCTTAATTAGGTTGTATTAGATCGAATTGAATGCAGGTTCGGTGGCATTATTAACCGATTGCAGTTTAGATTTGGTTCTGATGGAATGTGACCCGTTTGTTTTGTTTCGTTATGATGCGGTGTTCGTTAAAACGTGATATTCCTCAATGAACTGAATGCTTGTGTTCTTAGGTGAAACCTAATGATGGATTCAGCTGGCGTCGATGATCATCGGCTGACGACGCGGACTGAGCTGAATGCCTCCCACAAGAGGGTGGCAAGAAGAAAGAAATGACCAGAACGACGAATGTACACGAATCAGCTTGGATAATTTACGACGTGAGTAAATTCCAGCCAATTATTCATTATATTAGTTACTTCAAAAGATAATCGAAACTTTTTCGAGGGATATCTGGATGGTCAAAATGCTCAACAGCTCTGCAAGAGGGTGAAGATGTGAGGAGCAGATCGACGGCCCACAAGAAGGCCAACGGTACAATTATCAATGCAAAGAAAGGAGCAGCCAACTCAACATAACAACGAATGATAAAGCAACATTCAACAGATATTACGACAGGATAATATTTGAGCAGCCAACTCAACATAACAACAAATGATAAAGCAACATTCAACAGATATTACGACAGGATAATATTTTATGCAATTATCACAATCCAACAATAAGCGCACCGAAGCGCCAGGCCAGTTGGAAGATTTTAAACATTATTTTTGTTTTCAATCTCAAGTTTGCCTTTTGGTTAACATAGGGCTTAGGTTGGAAAACGGCATCATTTTGTTTCTCAATTTTATTCAAACGTAAGGTATGGAAATAAAATTGAGCGTGGTCAGTGACCACTTTTTTGCATGCATAACATTTCATTTATTCATTTATTTGTAAATTTAGTTGCATTTCTAAATTATGATGTAAATAATGTTCATTTACAAATAATTCATTATTCATTGGGATGTATGATAATGTTGGGGTGTATGATAATGTATGTGATGTGTGATAATATTTATTATGTTATTGTATTTCACAATTGTGATATTATTATTATGTTGTGGTATTACTTATATCGACATCCATTGTTGGACTTGGTTGGGGTTGAATTTGTCCAGAGTGGGAGACAGAGAGGTGGACTAAAATGTTATGTGAGAATCGTAAATTGTTTCACTGGATAGAATTCTTTTTCTCAATACTGATTTCCTCTCAATTCCCCAAATTTGCTTGGACTGTGGTCATCAAGCATGGGCTGGACTACTATATGAAGTTGCTTGGTCATATGTTCAATTGCCAGCTTGAAGTTCTTGATGGTGTGGCTTAGACTAGGAACGTGATCTCAACATAAGGCCTAGCTTGACATGAATTCGATTGGCTTTAGCTTCAACCTGACTTGACTCAACTATCACTTCAACTTGCTTCACTTTTACTCCGTCATGATTAGGTTTGAGCTTACTCTGAATCTAAGGTATCTTTTTTCTTTGACTTTCAATTAGCTCAGCTCTAATATACTTGATTGTTAGTTGACTCTAATATAGTTTCAGTTATAGACGTGCAGCATAAGGATGAGTTTAGTTTCTCTGTATGTACGACACTTCAAATACCCACGGAAATCTCAGACTTTGAAGTAACCTCTTTGATTCGGTCATTTTTTTGAAAGCACAGATATTATTCGGAAGAAAACAGGATTAGGAGTGGGTGCGGTTGCAACCAACAGAAATAATGGGTATACTGGCGTGTAAATTACATCGAAATTTGAGTTGCAAGAAAGTAGGGGTATGAAGAGTATTATGGATGCAGCGGTAGGTCTGGAAAGTTCGCCTGGACCACTCATCCTGAAGAGTCGGGTTATCACAAGGGTAACTGGAAGATCTTCTCCCTCGTAATGTTATTTAATGACAGTCAGACTGATGCTGCAATGACTGATTGCATGTAGCCAATGGTCATATTAAAATTGCACATTTCGTTCGCGTGGGTGTTCCCAACCCGTCGAGCTGCCAACAAGAGGGGCTAGGTTTAGGTGAATGCAACGGGCGTTCCCCGCCTACTGGCAGTATCGGCGAATCGGGGAGAAACAACCAAAATATGCTAGCGATATGTACCCGAATGTCGTTGGTATTCATTCTTCGAGGCATATCACGGGCGTTCCCGGCCCGGGAAAGGCGCCGATTTGACCGGGGATAGGGCTTGCGCGTAAGTTGGCCTGAGTAGTGTGTTTGTGCATTTGCTCAGGTAACGGGGGTTCCCGGACCCACCGTGCGCACTTTCCCTTAACAGGGGGGAATTATAATCGGGTTGACCATTG